TCCAGATGGTGAAATGCTTCGCGTTTTTTTTTCAATCTAGCCTACAATTGATATTGTGAATTTTGAGGTTTTTCTGCCGCTCACCATTGCATAACCAGAAGTCCTCAATGCACTACTGAAATTGCACTGAAATTTTGCAAATGGCACTGATAATGTCGATGGCTGTAGAAGAGGTGTAATGTTTTGATGTTTGTTCAGCACTTCGAAACACGTTTTTCCTTTCTTTTTTAATTTTTCTTCCATTTCTGGATACCACGGTGTTTCCTGCAATCAACACAATGGCCTATCGGATGGTTGTTCTGTTAAACACATGAGTTGGAAAAATTGTTTGAAGAAAACTTTTCTGATACACGGAAGATTTTCATACCCTTTATTCTTGTAGCTTCAGTCTATGTGAATTTGCTATCTTTCGCTTGAGTTTGTCTTCAATATCCCAACCTTCATTCTGCTGTTTTATCCAACTGGGAAACCTAAAGAGGGCAACCAAAATCGGCGCAAGAATGTGCATGGTTAATGGTTGTAAGAACTGAACTGAACTGATACCATTTATGATATCATGGTGGTGGCCAGGTGGTTAGGTCATCAACTTGTGACTTGGGAGTTCCGGGTTCGAATCGCATTACCACCGACCATATTTCCTTATTCTGTAGCTTACAGGCAGCTTTTGTATGGCCGCGCCCCTTGCTGAATATTGACTGTACATTTGTATATTCAATAAATAAAAAAGGAGTTAAAAAGACATTTATTCATTCATTAAGAAAGCGTATTGCTCTAGTGTGCCACACGCATTTTTAAACCCCATATATGTTAAAAAGATTTATCGATGATTTACGGAACTCTTTCAACAAAAATGGAATCAAGTTTCACGAAGGAGACAAACAACTAGTGTGAATCGGCTTGAGTACACACGGAAATGGGCAGAATCAAACAGTGGGCCCGGGGTAAGAGGATCAAAAAAGGATACTTATACCGATGCTACACGGACCACTATGGCATGACCTTGACAATTGATCTCGAAATTGATGCACCTAGGATTTCCAAGTGACAGTGTTACAAGAGAAACCATAGTGGATTCTTGATAATTGTTTTGGTGGTACGAGCAGATCATTTCTAAATATCACTCTTTCTCAAGTTTACGTTGTTATTAATCCACAGGTGTTATAAGAGAAGATCTAGGCATTCTATAGAACTCTAAAGTAGGTAAGCTAAAGCTCGTGAGCGATGAGGGCTCAAGAAGAAACCTGAAAATCGTCTGAACCAGAAGGTGAAGAAATAATTCATTAGGACACAAGAAGTATGTAAAGTGTTCAGGTTGTGAGCTAAACTACTGTCGATATAGGCCCGTTGCTGAAGTGCTGAAAATGTTTGAAATAAACTTGAATTTTTAGTCCTAAAGTGATCGGTTTTAACCGGAACAAAAATAACTGCAGAAAATTGGTGACTATCATTTTTAAGTTTCCTTCATCCAAGAAAATAAAAAAAAACTAGAGAATTCCACATAGCAACGAAGTGCGTGACATTTGTATTAAGTAACATCATTCGAGTCCCGTTCTCCGGAGAGTTTATGCTTCCATTCACGTAGATCGGACATCATTTTATTCTATACATGCCTACAAATGCATCCAGTGTGTCAGCAGCATTTAATCAGCGAGGAATCATTTTAACTGGAAAATTACTAAAACTGATCAAACTGCATGAGTGAATTTTGTGGTCAATTCTTATTTACTGCACATTTATTTTACATGAGTAATACTCACTAATGAAATGCAAAAACTAAAAAAATTTGCTTTTTGATGGAGATGACAGGCAACTGCGTTATCAGTCTATAAAACGGTAGGCTCAAGTTCTACTGCGGAAAATTGTTAAATAACATTCAAACCTATACTTTTGACTGTTCCGGTTCAAAATTTTTAAACTGGGTGTTATAGTTTTCACTTCTTTAACTTCATTAGATGAAACATTGAGGTTTTTGAAGAAGCTTATAAAGTAGCCAAGCACGCCGATATTCTTTTTTCTCAAATTTGACATTGAATTGTCTTCAAACAAAGCACGTAAAAATAAGTCTAGGTTTAAATGGTTTACACTATCTTACGAGAATGGAGAAATCGCTCTCTCAAGGTCACTGTTTCTTTTCAAAGTTTGATGCTTATCTTGACTCAATAATAACGACATCCTTCAAGTGTGCTCGGTCAGTGACCAGTTGGTGATAAGCCCTTTTTAATAGGAGTGATCTCGCACCGTTGGGGTAAAAATAAAAGCTTACCTCTACTGGGGATTAGGTGATTCCTAATTCTGGTTGTTGAATCTCGGTCCAGGGTATAATTGTGTTCCCGAACCATTTTACGCTGACACTATTTCGTTTGTATCACTGATATCCAATGGCTAAACGCGATAAACATTAGACCATTTTTTTATTTGATACTATTGCTGCATTACGAATCTCATCTAGACACGTCAAACTCAGAAAGTGAAATGGGTGGTCACGCTCCTTTCGCTCTATCTCAATGCAACCCCTATTCAAATCGATATTTATCAATGGATCTCAGTTTAAAACTACTTTTTCTGTATAATACTCTTCGATAAACCAACTCAAATTAAACCGTGGAACTAGGCGGTAGATTTAGTGCTTTCCTCTTCATATACTACTTATATGCGTCATATATGCGCTGCTTATTTTTCACGTAACTGAAGTGCTCTTCATGTTGATCGGTTGTTTAGTATTTGAGCACCACTCAGAGTTTATTTGATCTGTTGCGAACAGGTGGTTATCCTATATCTCTTCTCCGTGCCCTCAATTTGGACAAGCATTTCATTTTAATGACTCAGGCTAATATTTAATATTATTCTGTTTACAAAAATTACATTGGATACAACTTTACACGTCAGAACGGCAGCCAAAGATTAATAATACTTGGTCGGGAAATGCAGTTACACCTCATGTTAGGCAAGTAATGGGGCTATATCAGATGGAATGGTTATCAGAACCTCTCTAGCTATGTGTCATTAGTGAACTGTATATAGTATCTCGGTCGAAACTCCCAACTTTGAATCATACGTGGGTGCAAGGAGTTCTTGGAACCAGTATTCCTTCATTTCGATACTTATTGACAAACTTCATTGAGATCACCTTGTGAAGCGATATGCAATCATATATTCCACACACCTCTGGGTCCAAGAAATGTGCCAAAAATTTCACGGTACAAATATGTTTATGAAAAAAATTATAGTGCAACAGCCCACAACGCCAACAATGATGAACTCTTTGACTTCCATGTGCATTCAGTCTGCCATTTCCAAACCAACAGATAAACGCTCTACAACGTACATACACTCATGTCCCCCCAGCCTCACCCAATCTTAACTTCACCCTCTTAACTCACCTCCTCTCTCGGGTTCTTCAGGCGATCGTGAAAACACAAGTGCCTCAGATGGAAACTGCCACCGTTCCTTCATGTCCTACCTCAACTACCATCCAAGTCTCACCGATTCCTCCACCAGCTGAAGCCCTTCTTCGCCCTCGATGTCCTTTCAAACTAGCCACATTTAATGTGCGCACTCTGATGCGTATAGGACAACAGGCCGGTTTAGCTGTTACGCTCGAGACCCTAGCTATCGATGTGTGTTATATCCAAGAGACTCGCATTCAAGATTCCAGCTCCATTATCTGATTGACGTCCCCATTTAACCAATCTATGAAGTTGCACTTATGCCTCTCTGGGGACCCTGAGGCTGCGACTTCCGGTCTTGCTGGCGATTGCGTGGCTCTCAGTGAGAGAGCTGAAACCACGCTCCTGGACTGGTTCCCAGTCGACAGTAGGTTGTGCCAGTGTTGTGTCAGTGTATTCCCCGACAGACTGCAGCCCAGATGCAGTAAAAGATGGATTTTATCATAAACTATACGACTTCTTGTGTAAAGACAGTCGATCTGATATCGTGATTTTAGCAGGAGATATAAATGCTAGAGTAGGCCGACTGACTTCAAGTGAGGCGCATTTGGGCGGTCCTTTTGGACTAGATTCCTGTCGCTCGGAAAACAGGGAACGGCTGTTGGCTCTTTATTCAAACCACCGCCTATTCCTCACCAGTACGAATTTCAGACGCTTCAAATACCGCTACGCCACTTGGCGTCTACCCTCCTCGAGTCAGAAACGTCGTAGATCGACCACATCGCTATAAGCTACAAATGGTGGGGTCGTATGCAAAACTGCCGATCGTTTCGGAGCACTCTCCTCGAATCCGACTACGTGTTAGTTTGCGCCAAGCTGCCCATGTGCTTCGGTGGGCGTTCCAAACGCTTGAAACCTCGACGATTAGACTATGATCAGTTGTCCGAACCAGCAGGCCTAACTGTCTTTCAGAATGCGCTAGCTGAAAACCTGGAATCATCCCCACTCGATGACGTTAACCAGCACTGGTCGCTTATCAAGATGCTCTGCATTCTGCTGGCTTAGTTAGTTGTGGCCTGACACGCCGTGTCGTGGCACCTACTGAGTCTCTGCGCCTTCTTGAGGCACGCCGGTCACTTCCGACCGGCAGCGAGCATAACGTAACACGGCTTTTAGTGAGACGTGAACTTAACGTAAGCCTGCGCAGAGATAGTGAAATCTAGTGGTCTTAAGGCGCATCAGAGATGTAACGTGTGGACGAAACGATCTATGAAGTTGGCGGTTCGCTTATTAACAAACAACAGCGACGTCTTGAGCGCTGGACGGAGCACTTCAAGGCACAGTTTAGCTGACCACCAGCGTCAGCTTCTCACACAGCTATTTCGGCACACGTCCAATGGTCTGTACCGGCAGACTCACCCTCTGAGGCCGAATTCCTTAAGAAAACCCAAGCCTTGGGACTTCACAAATCGCCGGACTTCGATGGCCTTCTCTCAGCTGTATTTAAAGATGGTGGATTAAAGCTTGGTAGAGAACTTCAAGTCCTGTTCTCTAAAGTTTGGAACACTGAGCAGATTCCCTCGCAGACGGAATCGATTGTCGTCCTCATCTTTAAAAAGGGCCCCCGGAACGATTGTGCTAATCATAGGGGTATAAACCTAATCCCAATAGCGTCAAAGCTGTTAGCGTCCATCATTCTTCGTAGATTGTACAAACGCGCGAGGGACATGCCCGCGAGGAACAGGCTGGGTTTCGTGCCGGTCGTGGCTGCATCGACCAAATCTTCACCTTCTGACAGCTGCTTGAGCACCGTCATGCTTACCATAGACCAACGATCATTGTGTTCTTAGACATTCGCG